AGTTCGCTTTTCTGAACCATTCTATATTGTTCATTTATGTCAATGCCCTAGCTAAAGTGATTGCTTGTAGGTTACTAGCGGACACGGAATCTGGAGGTCACACGTTTGAATCCATGCTATGCCTGTCCGAACATTCGGGGTGACGTGCCAGTTTGGGGCTGCGTACCTAAGAGACCCAAATTATAATTTGCCACAGAACATTGAAAACCTTTTTTTTCAAGGGGCATTTTGGTGAGCTTTTAGTATTTCAATGGCGGATGGCATAGCATAGGGTTCGGAGTAAATAGATTTACCCGAGAATAGAATTTGTTCTATGAATGTCCTTGTTATTGGGTACATTTGTGATACTACCCCACAGCCTTGCAGGCCCCTTAGAATAACTCAAACAAAATTAACCGATGTAGACAAAATCTGCAATGAGTTTGAATCGCCGTTGGGCCCCCCCCCCCCTCCAAAAAGGCTTGTAAGTACACAAATCATTTTTGAAATATTATCTAGCTCATAAAGGTAAGCTTTAGTGACTAAAATCTTGAAATATGAAATTTAATGCGCCCCCACCCCTGTGTCTGTTCGAAAAACATACTTATTTACGTGACTTTTCTTCCTCCACCTCCACACTTACAAAGTGTAAATTTGTACCCGGGATCAGTTTCTGCGTCAATATATTGGTGGGACAAAAGGGATGGGTTCCACCTTAGATACGACACTCCTATGGATACTCCTATGGCAACAGTGTTTGTGATGACTTGTGCTCCGAAGGATGGCCCTGGAAATCTCAAATGGACGGTGGATAATTTTTAAGTATTCTATTATTCATAGGATGCGTCATAAAAACGGAAGACATGGTCTATCAGCTGTTCGTAAAGTCGTCGCAAAACTACAATACCGTCAAGAACATTAAAAAATAAGTTAAATCAGTCCAATAGCCATATATTAAAAACAGTATAAAAACAACAAGGTAAAGTTAGAGTGGCTTTAGGGTGACACATTACAGATCTAGGATTTGTCATGCTACTATCCATTTAAAAAAGTAATATCTATCATTCTTTTGTGAAAGAGCACATCGTGTAAGAGCGCTTGTAGCAATTATAGATTATGGGTTAACCTTTTGTACCTAGATGCAAGTCACTTAGGAAAATTGCATGCTCGAAGGACACTCGGTGGGCAATTTGACAAAACAACACCAATAAAAACCCTGCACTTCTTTCCTCAGAACACGCAAGGAAACGGCGAAGGCAAGATGGAAAAATTCCTGATGCTGGTTGCAGGTTAGTTAAGCATGTAGAAATAAGTATAAAAGTCACAAGATTGTATTTTTATAATGCTATGATGTATGCTAGAATAGAAGATATTACAAAAAAAAAAGAGGGTTTGGGGAAAAAACTTGTATGCGCCTGAAACCATGTTTAGAAGTGTGTATCAATGTAGGGACCTCTCCTCACACTGTGTTTCCATGTTTGATCTTCCGATTTGTATTATTTTTGGGTAGTTGGTTACATGGTGTATATGTTTCAGTACATGCAATGATTTGAGTCCACCTCTCTCTCTCTCTCTCTCTCTCTCTCTCTCTCTTTCTCATGGCGCTTCTTGTAAATGTTTACATTTTCTGTCTCAAATAGACTATCGCCGGACTTTTTTCAATGAAGCGAAAAATTACTCTTATGACAGCCCTAATAACCTTATTTGTAGTTTTTTGGTCCATACAGAGTTGTAACCCTATTTTACAAACCTGACGTAGTCCTTTCTGTGTGTAAAATGTAGGGTCATCGTGGTTGATTTTATTGATGTTGGCATGTTGTTCGTGTAGATGTTTGCATGTGTGTGTGTTTGTGTGCCTGTGTGTGTGTGTGTGTGTGTTAGCGTGAGTGTGTTGAGAGAGAGATAAAGGGAGAGAGAGAGAGAGAGAGAGAGAGAGAGAGAGAGAGAATCTATAGGGTAACTACGAAGTTCAGTTATTCCCAGGGTACAGGACAGAGACTTGTCTTGGATAGCTGCCATTTCTACCTTTCTCCACAGGCATTCGATTTATTCAGCAATAGCACATTTACAAAATAAACTGTTTTTCTCACCCCGCGTTTTGAGAACAAAGCATGTAATGATATTTTTCCATCACCATTTTTGCTATGAAAGTATTACTACTGTATTCCCCAATGTTTGCATAATAAAACGATCAATATCATCGTTAAATTCAACATTCTTTTACCACAGCGCTGTTAGTAGCGGTGTTGATAGTGTTTGGGACGGAGTTGAACCCCTGCCGTCCACCGCCGGATGTGAAAGTGTGCGGCTGCTCGGAGGGAACTCGAGTCTCCAGTACCAACCCTGGAGACACCTGCACGGTGTGTGCGTGTGGACCAGATGACAAAACATGGGACTGTTTTGGTGAGTTTAAGGGTATTTAGAACTTCGGGGTGTGGAGGTATCGTTTATAGGTGGGTTTATGTGTATGCCTTTGCAGGGTGGTAACATTTGGGCTGCAAAGATCCTACATTTCATAATAGTGTTCGATCTGGGCAATTCGAATCGAACCCGAGTTCCATTTCTGGGTCACCTGCGGTCATTTACAATAAAGCGGCAAAACAAGCCCTTCTGCCTTAGTGACTCGCAACAGATTTAAAAAAAAAACACATTTTTATAGATATAAGTAGTTTTCTGGACAATACATGTCCGCTATCATTTTTTGTGGACATGTAACATGTAGCGAAGCTACTGTCGTATCCTTGGGTGATCTTGAATACTGTAATGATTCTTTACGCCTGTATGAATAACACAATACACACTTTCGGGCGATATGACATGTCTGCACAACTGGTTCAAACCTGGAAGCATGGAGAGTCAAACATACCCCAGGGCTCGAAATGTTAAGACAATAATTTCATTTCAATTTGACGAAATTTACCTCTAAATATTATTTGTTTATTTTCATATGTTACTAGTAAATGTTTTCGATCCTTTTTTTGTTGTAAAAGCTAAAAACGTATACAGTCCGTATACCAGTAGAGAATTATTTTTATAAACAGTAAAATATATCTTTTATCCTTTCAAAAAATTTCTTTCGTTTTGGACATTTTTGTCACACATAGTCCTATATGTACGATGCATGGGTTGTGACATGTCAATATGTAGCCTTATAATTTACTTTTTTAATTGATAAATAAGCATCATTATGGGAATTGTAGTAAAAAAGGTATGAGAAAATGGATATTCTTTCAATAACAAAGAGTATGGCTATTTTAAGTCATTTTTAATACATGAAAGCACAATACAGGTAAGGTGTGTGTTGATTCTGATGAATGATGACATTTGTCTTCCATAAATAGAGCATTAATAAATGGTTTTCTTTCTCAAGGACGTTATATTTACCGTGCAAATACCGATTCATGCACAACATGGGGCCGTGGTATTATTATAAAAGCATGTAACAAAACGTTTTCGAAAGCTTAGGATTTTTAAAATCCACATCTTCCCTAGGAAAATAGTTGTCTTAGAGACCAATATTTCGAGGGTATTTATTAACAACTTTTTATGGCTTCACTACACCATATTTATATTGATGAAAAAACGTTATTTTTCCTTGTGTTTCTCATTCTACCCCGATTCCATTTTGCGAACCAAATAACCTGATGACATTAGCAATCTCCAAGCAGATACATGGTGGCATCGGCAGGTAATCTTAGAGGAGATACACAGTGGCTTGCCTTTCAAGCAGATACAGACAGGCATTGATACTGTCAATTTCCATATATTTTAACAGCAAAAGGCATTCTAAGATTCCATGGCTGTATGGGGGGGCATAGAACACTTCACATTTTGAATAGGCGTGATTTAGGAACAATCCATTTGTGTGGGAGGCGAATAGGTCTATTTTTGGTACGAGGTATGTGGTGAAGCCATGATGCATTTGCTCTTGAGCAAATGTCGGCCTCCAGTATTATTTGTTCTTTTTTTTCAGTTCATCAGCATGTTTGGCTGGACATCGACCCAGGGTGGGCAGTGGGGGAAAGTGGAGGGAGATTTTGCACCAGTTACGTCTGCCTCTATACCGTGGATAAAGCAAACAACGCGTTCGACGGCGGACTGGGAACCTTCTGGGAGCCGCTGTACGAACCGACCGGGTACCGACACTGGGTCATCCTGGATCTGCAGAAGGTGTGGAAGATCTACCGGATTGGGATCGTTAATTACGGAGATACTGTGCACGACGTCAAAAGCTTTCTGTTAGAAAGGTAATTATTCTTTATTTTAGAAACTTAAAATGCATGTAAATATTACTCTTTTATTGTGCAATGTGACATTAGTCCTTGCACAAAATTATGAAACACTTTTTTTGAAACCATGCTGTTATTTTGAACACTGCAAACATACCAGGTGAAACTATCACCTTCTAGAACAAACTCTATTCGTCTTATTCGTTTTAAACTTGTTATATGTATACAATATATATTTTTAAAAAATCCCAATAGGATGAATACAATGCGCTCTCAATAGATTTGGCACTTTTTTTTTACAAATTCAAAATTTGGAATATTGTTACCACTGTATGTCTGTAATGATTCATGACTCTGACCATTGACAAGACAACCTCTCAGAGCTGAAGATGGCAGAAGTCGTCTGAAAGCTTCTCAGGCTATTTTTTCTTTGTAGAAAAAATGTGATGTCTATTTATTTTCTCTTATTCAAAATTTCTATGTTGCAGGGCTCGAAATACTAGGTGCATGTGCACCTTAGTGCACCCAAATTTGGAGCTGTGCACCAAGATTTTTTCATAGGTTTAATGTATGTAAAGATATTGAGTATATAGTAGTTACAGCATATTCTAAACATCTAAGTGTCAGAAAAAATAATACAATACTTGATATAGTACTTTACTTAAAATGAAACATAATCATAGTTTTTAAAGACATTCTACTTATTTTATTTTATTTGGTGCACCTTATTTTTTTGCACCCAATTTTTAGGTTGGGTGCACCAGCGCACCTATTCCCAAACATGAATTTCGAGCCCTGTGTTGTTTTCACCAGCTCTCTCAACAGCTCTCTCGGTGATGATGAGTATGTTTGGGAGTATGCTGACAGCTTTGACGGGGTGCAGACCGGGATGTCTTCTCCGCAAACCTTTGACATTTACACTGAAGCACAATTCCTGAAGCTCACAGTCAACACAAGCAGCGAGGAGGGACCGAGAATTCGGGAGATTTCTCTGTACGGCACAGGTATTTAAACTCAAGGTCAATGCATCAACTGCTAAATGCTAAATGCTAAATGCTAAAAAATTATAAAATAAAATAAAAATACTACTAATTTGTCAGTGGTGGCTCATACTTTGTACTTTGCTTTTTAAGCTGAAATATTTCCTCATCCATCCATCCACCATTTTATATGTGCACTGTCCGTTTTTTATTATATTGAGGCCACATTAATTCAGTTTTAGGATGGCAGAGTTTTGAAAGAAACATATATAATTGAGTAGATATTACTAGTAATCCCATTGCTTCAAATTAACGAAAAAAATTCTGCATCTTTTGCACCCATTGCCTAGATCAACCACTCCTAGCCGAGCCGTGTGCTGTGGTCCATACCGGCTGCGTCTTGAATGAAGCAGCTGGGAAAAAAGCTCCCCCTGCTGACCAGCAGTGTTATGCCATCGTTGATATTCATGAACGGATTCGCGAGTAATTATAAATTAATTTATTCAACCATACCCCTGTTTATATGTCATTTCATGACATTGATAAACTGTTGATTATGCCTGTTTACCTGCCTATGATCCTGTCAGAAAATGTTTTACATTACAGTAGTTTAAAAATTCAAATATTTACTACACACTTCTTGCAGCATAGTCTGAATGATGTTGATTGAAGTATGTGTATCTATCAAATTTATCTTTAACATTTTCATCAGCAACAACTTATTTTACTTTGGATGACCAGAAACGGGCCCTTTAGAGTTTTTAGTTTTTACTTGCTGTTGATTCCATTCTCATCCTTGTTAGGAGTCCAAGTTTCTACCCACCCACCTTAAGCACTGTGTTCTAAGTATAGTTTTAGGTCTCCACCGATGCTGTTTTCCTTTCGGAGTGTAAATTGACACTTAACATACCAAGGACCAAGGGAGTGGGGCCGCTAAAGGCCCGGTCAACTGTACAATCCGGGCCTAGCCGGGTTGTTTGCGTAAACAAAAAAATAAACAATTTGTTCTCATGGTTAATTTTCTAGAACTTTTTTGTGTTTTGATGTTTTATATCATAATTTTCGTTGAATACGACTACCCGGCCGGGCCCCGGGTTGGAAAATGTGACCGCGCCTTAAGGAATTTTTTCTCTCCCTAGTAATCTACTCTTTGCAACCCCTTCTAAAGCCTTATAAAAGCTACTTTGCAACCCTTTGTTTCTGTTATAAGGCTGTCCAATTTTATACAAGTCCGGGCACATGTCTTAACTCTGAATCGTAATTTGTTTGTTTGTTTTTCAACTATAGTAAAAACGACGCCCTTCCGGTGCATCGGACGGGCAACGTCATTCTCCACGGCTTGCTGTCTGTTGAATGCCCTCATAATGATTACAATGTTAGTAGAACTTCATAATTAGGCCACACTGACACACTTTTAATATGGATGATATTGAGGTTTATTGAGGAAAAAAAATCTCATTTAGCTGTCCACCGAAGGGTTCTATTCTTCCAGGAGAGAGTCAGCATACAATTACATATACATTCATATTACATAGTGATTTAAAAGAAACAAATATCTAACATCATATTTTCCTCACTTATCCATGTCCCTCATGTGCTTTAGTAGGCCTTGTTTGAACTTTTCATGTGATGACACTATTTGTAACCCATGTGGTAGAGAGTTCCATGCTGCAGTATTTCTGTATGTGAAGGTTTATAGTGCTGTCTTTTTTTATATTTTTGACATCCATAACATCAATTTATCCGGTTAAAGAAAAAAAAAACGTTTGCGTCTGTACTTTATTTTAATTTCACTATAAAATTTACAAGAACAAAAAAGTTCCACGTTTACATATTGTTGACCACATAGATTTCAAAATGAAGGCAACGTTTTGCCCATCCTTTCTTTATGCTGCTGTTGCACACTCAGTTCGATAACAATAAGATAGTGTCATCCGTATTACTAAATCGGACTAAATCATAGCAAAAACTTTTAAATTTGATCTTAACTGCTGTAATTAAAATAAAAGCTAATAACTTAACTTATTCAAATAAAGTCATCTTTTAGAAATATCTTTAAAGATTAAAAGTTCAGAATTTAATATTACAATAAAGCAACCAATAACAGGGACTATTCATATTCCGAAAGAAGACTTTTGTATGTAAGTTTCATTTACGTCCTGCAAAGTATCGATTTTTTGTAAGGTAAATCACAAACTGTCACCAAAATAGAAATAAAAAAAATACATTCATTTCACTAAACAATAAAGTCTAGCATATAAATAAACGTGTATTAACTTGTTTAACCCTACCTAGACCGGGCTTTTTTTGACATGGGGGGACCGGGGGGGGGCTCTTTTGACCCCCCCTAAGAACTCGCGAACGGTATGTCGTATGACCACTAAATTTTCAGAGAATGGTGTACTAGTGAAAATTTATCATATCTACAATTTTTATGTCGTTATGACGTAATATGACGTCATTATGACGTCATTAATGTGATTTTATTGGCGAAAAACCGTCTAAATAGGTTTTTCCCTGAAAACCTCCCTGGTATACAACATAACTTTACCAAAAGTGTTTATGACAGAATATTAGGGTGTACTAAGTCTTATGTTGCCCATGGCAACACCGGTGACGTCATAAAATGACGTCATGCATATTTAAGATATCCGCCATCTTGGATCATCAATCTTGAATTTTCAAAAATAGTTTTTTTTCATGATAAAGCCTAAAATACATTGTTAACATATTAAACACCTTCATTCAAACCTTTTTTGTAAAAAGAAATGGAAGTATTGATGAAATTTTAATGAAAATAACCCGTATATACCTGTACTAATGATATAGTCAGCCATCTTGGATTTTGGCCAATGACGTCATCAAATTAGCATAAATTATGCATATTTAATGATAAAATTTACATAAAATTATATGGGATGTTATTAATATTAGAAACCATGAGTAACTTGACATAAAACCCATAAAATTCTATTGTTGAAACAAAAAGTACTAAATTTAGCAAAAAATGCCTGTCAGAAACCCGTTGCCATGGCAACACAAAAAATTATTATCTTATTCCAATGATAGAGAATTGTTGCCAACAATATTTTAGGAAAAGTCACCAAGTTTGGTCGTTCTACGGCTAGTCGTTCAGACGCTAGGTGACATCAAAGTTGCCGCGGGCACTTTTAGCCCCCCCCCGGTCTAGGTAGGGTTAAATTGGGCGGGGTAATTTGTTGGTTTCTCTATTTGTATTCATTACATGATTACATGTTCTTATTGTAAAAGCTGTAAATATATTCTAATCTTTTTTTTCTCTCTTGAAATGTGTTCTACTAAAGAAAGGCATTGTTTAATACCTTGCATTTCGTAAAACGTCATATTTAGAGTATCCTCATTCTATGGTCGTGTATTATTTGTACTAGAAGTTTTTTTTTTTGCTAAACCTTTAACTCTTAACTTTTAACTTCTGCCTAACCACAAAATTAATAAAATTGGGAGTATAACAGCTAGCTTCAAGTTGGTAGGCTATATAATTTAACGTCCTTTCTTCAGGTCAGCTTATACTGGACATTACGAGGAGAAGGACCAGTAACATCCGGGCCATCACTGGACGACATTTTACCCGAAGGCGTGCCGCAGAACAACTTACATTTTACCCTCCCACCACGGACCTTACCTCTTGGGTTCTACATGGTGCAGGTACGTAAACCCTGTAACACCTTTAAAACGTCCCCCTCGACTACCAATTAACCAATACCTTGGGTGCCAGAGTATTATCGAGCCGTTAGCCGTGTTCGTTCGGCAGCCAATAGCCCTTCGCCCGCCTATTTTAATTACCTCTGCGGGGGAGTTGAGCCCGTGGTAGTTTGGTGTAAGTAGTTGTAGGGGAGACCGGTGTGTCGAGAAGAGTGGTATAGTACTAATTACACACTGAAACCCGCGGGGTCTGCTACCCAGGAAAATTAACAGAAGGTTGACTGATGAACGTTTTGGAGCATTCTTATCAGATTTAGACAGCGCCTACCTTTGTGTGCAAATTGTACCCCCCCCCCCCAGGTTGTCGCAATAAGGCCAAGGCAAGTTCTTTAATGTATAACGTCAGCGTGCGAATTAATTTTCGTTATATTTTGAAAAAAAATGTTGCCATTTGTTGACTGCATTTTGACCAATGGAAAATGGGTAAATGTGTCTGTTGCCAAGCCAAAACTTATGATGACAGGTAAATGTGAAGAAAGCAGGCAAGACAAGGTTCTGATTTATGGTCTGTCGTTTACTTTTAATTTTTTGCAGTTTTGTATTTCATTTCTTTGAATGTAAAATTGCCGCTAATCAAAATTTGAAATAAAATCTTGTTTATTAAGGTTCATGATCTCAAAATTTATATAAGTATAGTAGATTCACTTGTTGTGGCCTTATTGTAAACATCTGTCCAATGAACAAGATAGTATGTTCAAGGAATTAACCTTTATAAAATAAAGTCTATATGGCAAATTTCCATTAATGTCTTAACATTTTTTTAATTATCGTACTTTTTACAACATTCAAAAGTCGTATCTTAACAACGAACACTGTTTTGATATTTTTGTAAATATTTGCAAATATCCCAAAGAGCATGAATGATACTGATTGTTAATAAAAATACGTTTTAACACGGATGAATTTTTCCACAGTTTCAAGCCACATTGATTGTACCAGGAAGTGGCCATGTTTCCATCGCATCAGTGCAGACGTGGGTAGAAGTTGCCAGCATGCCGGTAACCTACACAGTCGGTCCTGTTCAGCGAACGGTAGACACAACCAGTGACCTGACTGTAAACGCTGCGCTCTCGTATGACCCCGATGGGATTCTTAGTTCAGGAGGATTTCTCTACGAATGGAATTGCAAATACGAAGTCAATCTCCGTAAGACACTGTAGTTTCATTTGTTGGGGGATGGACCTTATTTCATTGAGTGTATTTGAACTAACCTAGCTCGACATCAGTTATACTCGGTTCTAGTTTTGGGATTAGAAAAGATTGCATTGTCAATTGACAACAGCGGATATCGTTTTTTTGCTCAATTTCTTCTTCCTCTTCTTTCTACTTTCCCAAATAGTGACCTCTGACCTAAACTAATGTTGTGTCTGTTGCTATGGTAACTAGTGTTTGGTTACATCATGTTGCAATTTCATAGCAGGAGGGATTTAGACTGCTGTTACCATATATGTGAATGTGTTTGAGTAAGAGTTAACAGAGCAGACCATATGCGAAGGTAAACATTATTCATTCCCTTGCAAATGTTACCTTTCTAGTCATATTTTACTATATTGTTTGTTTTGGGCAAAGAAAATCAACACAAAATACAAACGACATGAACTTCTGTCGTACGAAGTTGTAGGAGATCATAACTGCCAGAACTGCCGTATTGTACTAAATACCATTATCGTTCTTTTGTAGCCCTTAATGCTTCAAAGATCAACATTGCTGGCTGTAATAAGAAAGCAACGTCCAGTAGCGTCGCTTATGGTGGAGTACCTGAAAGAGCAGTCGACGGGAATAATGGAGGCGGACACTGGCGCTCTCTGTCATGCATGCACACCTCCTGGAACGCCAACCCCTGGTGGATGGTAGACCTTGGTGCCCAGTATCCAATCGAAAGGTAACATCCATTACAGCCATGCATGTAACTATATTCTCCGTACACCCGAAGAGATAATTCCAGCTGTTTGTTTGCTTGTTTGTTTGTTTGTTTGTTTGAATAATACTTTATTAACATTGGCGTCTGTATGGTGTAGTGGATAGAGCGTCCGACTGTCAAGCGAGAAGACCCAGGTTCAATCCCCGGGGTTGGACCCAGACATGTCCGGACTTAACACACATTTCCCCCCTCAGTTAGAGGGTTCCTGGGCCCTACTAGGGTTTGGGTTGGCGTTAGGAAGAGCATCCAGCCGTAAAAATCTTGCTTAAAAAAAAAAAAAAGACTTGTACCTGGTGCAAGCACGTCTAACCCCCGGTTGGGGAAAAATGACGTTAAATTCGGTTAAAAAAAAAACATGTTATTTTATGTTTGCAACTTGTAATTAGCCTTCGGGCATGGGTTTGCAACTTGCAACATCTCATTAATAAAACCCCAAATCGTCATGAAAGCCGATTTTAGGAAAGTCATAAAGGAAGAGATCATACAAAATATAATCAACAAGATAAAGTCTGCATCATTCAAACTTCTAATGACATATTTTTAAACATATACATGGTACAAAATACATACACAATGACATCTTATTTGTGTTTGATCTTTTTGGGTATCAGGAGTCTCTTATAAGTTAACCCCTTGACTTGCGGAGTCAAACAATTGTTGTTTTGCACATTCAGTATCTATGTAGAACTCTGTATAGGTGCAATTGGGGGAGTTTCTCGTTCAACGCATCACACCGCAGCGAAACGTAAAAAATGCGGAAGTAATTTTCCACCGCAGGACAAAAAAGTGAGGGTCTCTGATCTAATTAACCCTACCTAGTCCGGGGGGGGGGGGCGTAAAAGTGCCCGCGCCAACTTTGATGTCACCTAGCGTCTGAACGGCTAGCCGTAGAACGGCCAAACTTAGTGACTTTTCCTAGAATATTGTTGGCAACAGTTCTCTATCATTGGAATAAGTTTATAATTTTTTGTGTTGCCATGGCAACGGGTTTCTGGCAGGCATTTTTTGCTAGATTTAGTACTTTTTGTTTCAACAAGAGAATTTTTATGTCATGTTACTCATGGTTTCTAATATTAATAACATCCCATATATTCTTATGTAAATTTTGTCATTAAATATGCATAATTTATGCTAATTTGATGACGTCATTGGCCAAAATCCTAGATGGCAGACCATATCATTAGAACAGGTTATAGAACATATCATATCCAGATTATTTTCATTAAAAATTCATCAATACTTCCATTTCTTTTTCCAAAAAAGGTTTAAATGAAGGTCTTTAGTATGTTTACCATGTATTTTAGGCTTTATCATGAAAAAAAAAAACTATTTTTGTAAATTCAAGTTTGATGATCCAAGATGGCGGAATATCTTAAATATGTATGACGTCATTTTATGACGTCATCGGTGTTGCTATGGGCAACATAAGACTTAGCACACCCTAATATTCTGTCATAAACACTTTTGGTACAGTTATATTGAATACCATTTAGTTTTTAGGGAAAAACCACTCTAGACGGTTTTGGCCAATAAAATCACATTAATGACGTCATAATGACGTCATATTACGTCATAACGACATAAATATATCACATAGATATGATACATTTTCACTAGTACACCATCCTCTGAAAATTTGGTGGTCATACGACATACCGTTCGCGAGTTCTGAGGGGGGGCAACAGAGTCCCCCCCCCCGGTCCCCCCATGCCAAAAAAAGCCCGGTCTAGGTAGGGTTAAGACATTAGACAAATTATTACCTCCATGAAATGTGTCATGGAGGTTATATTTTCAGTTGCGTTTATCTGTCCGTCCGTTCGTCCGTCCGTCCTTCCGTCTGTCTGTTGGTCAACAAGATAACTCAAGAACGCCTGGATGGATTGGTTTCATACTTGGTGTGTTGGTAGGGTGTGACAAAAACTGGAAATGATGAGATTTTGGTCCCCCTAGTGGCTTCCCTTGGTACTGCAGCGCAACTTCCGGTTTTGATATCTCGCGATCTGGACATGCTAGGGTCATGAAATTTTGATGGAAGGTAGCTCTCGTGCTTGGGAAGAAGTCATATGAGTTTGGGCCCCCTAGCTGCTTGTTCTGGAACTGCAGGGCACTTTCTGGCGAAATGTTTAAAAGCCAATAAGTCCAGACAGGAACAACATATTTTCATTATTTTTGGTGTGTAGGTAGCTGAGAGAGAGATGTACATAATTAAATGCAAATTATGCAAATGAGGACTTTATTTGCATAATTAATGAGGAAATTCTATAATTACAGTGTTTTACATTATACTATGTAGCCTATGGCAGGCGGAACTTCAACAGATACTAATTATGCAAATGATGACCTAATTTGCATAATTAATGTGAAAATTCTATGATTTCGTAATGGTGAATGATGAGAATGCCATACTTGGGACATCTGTAAGTTAATCAAAAGTTAACATACATCACGATGCATATATCATGTTAATGGCGAGGTCATTTGAACAATTAAAGAAGAAATTTACATTTACATATCAAGATCATATTTCATGGAGGTATGAGATCTCGGAATTCTAGTTGAAAATATTGTGTAAAAATGCCAGCAAGACAAGGGGTAAAGAAATACAGAGTTCGGGACATCCATGTGTCTGATGATATATCAATCGGTCCGCGGTAATCGGTCCACGGTATCCTATAGATCTTTAAAAGCTCTTTGAAGTTGCAAATCAGGGCCACAATATTATACCTTTACAGGGTCGTCGTGTACAACCGTTTAGACTGCTGTGCAGACAGAATCGACACCACAAACATCCACGTTGGCAACTCTCCTACACTCCTCGATAATCAGATAGTCGGAAACTTGGAATATGTTGAGCTGAAACTGATCTATGAAGTCATTGTTGGTGGTGTCTTAGGCCGGTATGCTGGCATTTCAGTCACCTCGTCCGGACATATCATAAATTTCTGTGAATTTGAGGTGTACACGAATGAAGCAGCTTTACTAAGCCTACCAGGTAAGGCATATACTGATTTCGTGTGTGTTTGTGTGGCAGTGAATGCGTGTGTATGATTGTGCTGTATGCATGTGTGCATCTCTGTGTGCGTTATAATGCGTGCGTAAGTGTGTACATGTGTAGCGGTCCTCGTCAACCTGACGGACGAACGACATGTGTGTGTGTTTGTGAATACGCATTTGTGTAATTGTACATGTGTGTGTATGAGAGAATGCGTAAGAGTGTGATTCTCCCTACCATTTTCATGTTTCTTGGTTCTGTGCGTGTGTATGTGACACACAGAAAAAAAAAAATATCCATTCTTTTTTTTTTTTAAGTTACTTCATTGAAGGCCCGAAAAATATCTTAAAACATTTTTTCAGGCACGGACTGTGAGATCATGCTAGGCTGTCTGCTCCCAACTGCCCCCAACGGAGAGCGTACGTTCAGCCCCAGCCTGATGACGCACGACAGACCTCCGGGTATCATAGCGAACGTCACCGTAAACATCACGGCCGGGTCGTTCCCTACAGCGTCCCTGTACCAGGTCATCCACGTCGTTCCGAACGAGACCTGGCCGGGGTTAGACTTAGAGTAAGTCAATAATTTTTCATTATTTTTCTCAACTTCTCTCGACTTTAACCACGCGATTACATACGTATACGTCAGAGTGTTTTTTTTTTGCCGTGGACTAAAAAAATTCTTTACGCTTGGTCAAAGTGAGTTTAGCTCCCAGGTTATGGGATTTTGGCTGGCCGTTACACTACCGATCCCTGTAAGGATCTAAGGCCGCATTTTTCACAGCAGAACATCTATGAATTTTAAGGATCTATGCAAGAATATCCCAAATGAAAATGAATTAGAGTCTTGCTTTGATAGCATGCCCAGACATCCCCACTACTCTCACGGCCACGGACACCATGTGACCCACCTTACCAGACTCAGGCTTGGTTTCAGTCAGCTGAACTACCACCTATTCCAGCATCACTGTATCAGTAGTCCCGAGTGCAAATGTGGGCATCCAAACGAGACACCAGAACACTATTTATTACACTGCAAATGTTATAATACTGAAAGGACCAAAATGTTGTTATCCATATCTTGCCTTCATCTTGAAAACATACTCCCTTCCGACCCACTCAACGTAAATGACGCCACATTATGTACTTTACTTCTTACAGGTAGCCCCAGCCTCCCTTACCCTACCAACTGCCGTATCTTTGATATTGTGTTTAACTATATCCACCACTCTGGAAGATTTGACCAATCTCAATAATGTTATGCTAGGTATTGGTGCGCCAGCCACTTTCATTTTATGTTAATGCTATACTTTATGTCATCTTTATGTTTACATTTGTATTATGTTTTATGAGCAGCGGATTTACATAAGCACAACAAGTGCTTCCTATCCAATGCTCAAAAATCCATGTGAATAAAATAAAAAAAAAAGAATATCCCAAGAACCTGAGTTTTTTTTTCGGACAATCCATATGTGAATACATGCGTGCACGTTAAGCTAGGTAGGCTAAATTTTACGTACAGATAGGAACAATTACATTGATTAGGTACAGGTCTGCATGTTTCTGCATATACCTAAACAGGTCTCGCCAATGTGAGTTAAAGACGGTTTTTGGCCGTAAATTGTCGTCCTTGTATGATGTTTAATTAAAACCATCACAAAATTTCTTACAAATACCCTTTCTAAAGGCTTGCTAAGTTGTTATAATCATCATATTGTAAATGCAATATACCTATTAAAAATTGCTTCCACTATTGGTGTAATGTAGCCAGCTGCCGCCACGCCGCGTGCACGTGCCGCCTCTCTTTTTTTATCTTCTCTCTCCGTGTATATAGTATAACTTGTTTGGTTCACTTCTCACAGATGTACAGAGAATTGCAACCAGTACAGTACTTCGGCAGGCTGGCCACTTGTGCTGGACACGTCCTCAGAAATACAGGGCACCATTGAGTACACTCTGGTGGAGTATCCGACAGGACATGCAGCTGAGAACTGGACATCTGTGACCGAGGTTTCTGGAGCAACCCTTCAAGTTCCCGCTGAAGTATTTGTGGTGTGATAAACTTTCTTTTACACAAATATCCACCCACCCACTTTCAATTTTCGCTATTCAGAACATGATACATACAAACCCATAAACAGGCGCCACCTCAAAATCCCTATACTGTCTCAGGACGTGGGATTTGATTTGATTTTTCAGACTGTATAAGATACAGACTGTATAAGATATATGTATTACACTTAAGATAAACATACTATTACATAACAGATGTTGCGGTCTAACGTTAACAGGCTATGAGATTTGGCCTAGTCGTCATGCGTTTACTATAATTGCATTGTGTACTATATTTACATGTCACGTTAACATACTATTACATAACAGATGTTGCGGTCTAACGTTAACAGGCTATGAGATCTGGCGTAGTCGCCATGCGTTTACTATAATTACATTGTGTACTATATTTACATGTCTCGTTAACTATTACATAACAGATGTTGCGGTCTAACGTTAACAGGCTATGAGATCTGGCGTAGTCGCCATGCGTTTACTATAATTACATTGTGTACTATATTTACATGTCTCGTTAACTATTACATAACAGATGTTGCGATCTAACGTTAACAGGCTATGAAATATGGCCTAGACGTCATACGTTTACTATAATTACATTGTGCACTAGGACTTGGGATATTACACCATCCGTCTGACCGACACAGTTGACGGCTGGCAGAAGATCTCGGAGTGGAGATTCCAAGTCCTGCCCGGTCCTTACCCGAAGTCAACTGCAGGAGGAGACCCTCCGGACCTATCAGGGATGTGTACTCTACTTCCGACCGCTGGTACTGCTTTGATTGATAGGTTCTGCGTAACTTGTGAAGGTAAGGCCATTACCAATTAATACCTCGATTTTAAAGGATGAAGTTGTGCCTTTTCGGACTGTTACCTACACACGTACACGAAGATTATTTTTTTAATTGGTAGCGTTCGCATATGTGATATGTCAAGTTCGGCACGCTGATGTAACGATGTTTGATATCCTTTGTGTTTGGGAAGAAGTGACAGACGTTTCGGCCTTAGCAAACGTGTTCTTTGCCGGTGATTTCGTGATAGCTGACTCCAGTGCAGCATCACTCGGTTTGCCAGTCTGGCGTGTCCCGCAAATTCGTGATGCATTGCCGGTCGTGATTCGTCGCGAACGCCTATCGAGCTCCGGCGCAGCATCACTCGGTTTGCAAGTCTGGCGTGTCCCGCAAATACGTGATGCGTTGCCGGTCGTGATGCGTCGCACATTGTGTCTGCCGCACCCTCGGGCGCTGTTGTGACGGGTTGTGTCAACGCTGGCGCCGTGTACCCAAGTGCATTCGCCGGCGATTTCGTGATGGCTTACACGAACGCTACTCCCAAAAGGGTCAGTCCCAAAAGTTTAAGGAGCTTATTAAGAGCAGGCAGGCGGTGTTTGTAAGGTACCAAAATCCATAGGCATGGACATAAAGATTTTGAATGGATAAAGCAAAATGTAGAAATTTGAAAGTATTTCCCGAATGTGACTAATTTAGTTTTTTTCTATAGAATTTGTCGATTTATTTGGCCCGCTGGAGACGCAGGTCACGTTTGAGCTGAAGCCGTTAGCTGAAATCGCCACGGCGACGTTTCCAGGAGACGGGGAGCCTACACTAAACGAAGTAATACTAAATACGTTTACCGGATGGGTGAGTTAACTTTATAGTTTCGTTTTTCTTTGTACTTTAATTCGAAGCTTCCTGCATTTAATTTCAGGGCATGATAAAATTGACGTTTTGGGATCTCCGAGAGCCTGATCTTGACACTCACACTCACATTACACGCACGCGCGCGCGCACACAAACACACACACACACACACACACAAACACACACACACACACACACACACACACACACACACACACACACACACACTACCTCTCTCTCTATCACACACACACACACTCACACACACACACTACCTCTCTCTCTATCACACACACACACACTCACACACACACACTACCTCTCTCTCTATCACCTCTCTCTCTATCACACACACACACACACACTCACTCACCCATACACATACACACACACAAACAATCACACTCACAAAAACGCACAGATACATACCCAAACACACGAGACAGACACATGTACCCGTATATACAAACATGCACACTAAGAGAGAACAGAATACACACTTTGAAACATGAAAAAAAATGAAACTTACGTATCTATTGCATATCCAACAATACTGCATTAATATGGGAACTACCCTTTAAAATTTCTGATTTTAAAACTTAATCCTTTCTTTAGGTTCCATTCACGACTCTTTTTGAGCTCACACCCGGTACCGTCAGTCTGCGCGTGCGATTCGGATCGCCTGATGGTCGATTCATTGAATTCGATCTGGAACCTTTGCTGGTTGGTTTGCGTCTTATTTTTCAACATATCACTTTATTAAGAAATTTTTGGCTTTACCAAATCACGAAGTTGTTTGGTGAAACATATTGTTTTATATAAAATTACTTTTGTTTACGTTAAATTCAGGGGCATTATGCCACTTTTTTGACAATACAAAATTATATTTTCTAGTCTTTTCTTTCCATAGTAAGTTGACGTAACCCTTTATTCCAGAACATAGCATTAGAAAATGCAACACCCCTGTTCCATACAGGCATTATGAAAAATTGAATAATATTCTATTCAAACCTCTGGTCACACCTTAGCTGATTTGCATCTCCACATTCTATTTTTGCATATTTGTATCCTTTCCTGGGCTGATGTCACCCAGTTATGTCAGCACAGAGCATAGCACAAAAAAAAGCACAGAGATGCAAATAGAGATGCCCGAAGTGGGCTTTTGAGTAGCTTGATAAAGAGTCTCCAAAAATCCACTCTCAGAAGGCAGTACAAGCTTAATTTCTCAGTCATCATGATAAGAACAAACTTCCAGTGACTATATTGTGGGTGCAGTTAAAATATTTATATGCATTTTACAGACTTTTTTTGGTGTTGTTTGGTCTTTAAATCATAGCAAGCGGACATTATAAACCAAAAGGCAGGGAGGACGACGTGAATACTTACTTATTAAATGTTAATTAAAGGTACAGGCATATAAGCCTGGTCGCCAGGTTTGCTTTTTAAACCAATTTTATCGTTATCATTTTACATTCTTAGAACCAGCAATTGTTTTTTTTTTCTTTAAGATAAGAGAACCAACAATGGAGCAGCTTGAGGGGTATCTTGAGGGGTTCATGACATACCCGACGGGGGCGTTTTTCAGTCTTATCGAGAATGGAGAAGCACACACTGCTTTTCTTATATCTGTCATCGCATCCTATACGGCTAGTCACATTGCTGCTAATGGTGGGGATATAACAGAGGTGAGTATTATTACTTCCTAGACACAAGAATTGTTTAATTGGGTGGTGCTTTTCTTGGGGGCATTCCATATAATTTTATAAGGACACGTTGCCAGAAAACGTTTGACAAAAGGCCACCAGGACATATGGGAGTATGTGCAGTTTGGCGGTGTAATGATGCCATTACATCATAAGATTCCAACATGTAGGTTCTAGTTAACAATTACTAAATAGTTTACCGTAGTACTGCTCACTGTACTTTTTGGGAAGAGCTCGTGATAGGAAGTTGTCACCTGTCGGTATATGGAATTGAAAAAAAGGCAGTTAATACATTTCTTGATGTGTGCAGAAAGTGGACACGATGATAGAGGGATTCTCCGAGTTGGACATACAGGACATGGAGACTGTAAACAGCGCATCTCTGTCCGTGATGATGCTGACGGCTACCCCAGAAATGGTGTCAGGAAAGACCCAGGTCGGTTTACTATTGATTGACGTAACGTAGGTTACATTTGTCTCAATCTAAAATCTTAAAAAACAGTGTGTTTAAGAGATCTCAATGGACCTATACCATTATTACGTCACAGTTTGTTTACCGCAATGAATGCCGGTCAATCGACGTTTATATTGCACAGGAGTGCGTAGGGCGATGTGTGTTTGTGTAGTGTTAGCCTTATATAAGGCTTTTAATACTGTACTACTTTCGTCTAATGTCACAACTAAATCACCCATGCGGCATGAAATGCTGTGTCAACACAACTAGACGCAGCAAAAAAATCAGACTTACCTTACTTTGAAAACTTTGAAATGATCTTTATTCTTTAACTGACCGTTCTAGAATATTCTTTAGAACAGGTAAACAAACTGTGACGTAATAATAATGGTATAGGTCCATTGCAGCACCCCAAAGGTATTATATATTTGTATAGACAGTTCCATATACAGGAAAATAAGACATAATGCATAAGACAACTTAATGTTGTATAACTTACAATAGAATTTTAAAACCATGCAGCTAATTTCTTCGTAAACGTGGCTTCAATACAAAATAAGTAACCGTTTTCTGTCAGCGATATCTCATTCTGTGCCTCACAGATATTGATTTTCTATGAGACCAATTTAACTTACTTCATTAAAATAATAACACGTACGTTAGTTTTGAAAATCCAGTTTTGCCGCCCTCACATTGCCTTGGATACCTTAAGATGACTAAAAACCAACACTTGTACATAATTGTTCAGGTGTTGTCTGCCAACTTGCTGTATGAATGTTTTGAGTCGACCAGGCAGCTGTCGGCAAACGTCACGGCAATGACCAGTGACGAAGTAAACAAAGCAGCAGCCTTCATGTTTTCTGGTCAGTACATGGATTAATTAGTAATATCTTTATTAAAAGTCTTGATCTAACTCAGATTATAACACGTAGGTTTTGATTTCGATGTGTCTGTTTATGTGTTTATTGCTGTTCATTTAGCATGCCAGGCACTTTGGTGACACCTACAGAAATTCACATCACCAGTCCTATATAGCAGAAATTAGTCAAAGAAAAATCATGATAAAAATTATTTTGCATAATTGTGTAAAATACCCCGTTATATGCATGCCTGTTGAGAACCATTAAAAATCCAAAGACAGAATTGGCAAGATTTTTACCGCTATGAATACATCAAGAATCCACATAAAGTATAAATATTTCACGGTGGAGTGAGGTCTAAACTTTGCACTTCGCCCCATATAGCCTCAGTTATATGCACATGCATATTTTTTTACATCTAGCATTTATGACCATTAATTTTTTTTCAATAGCGTTAATAGATGTACTTTACTCTGCGTTATTTAGACTGCATCTAAATTATGTTGGAAGTATGCAATGAATTTATATCATGCACTATATTTTTCCTAGGTGTTGTGAATGTATTTAAAGCTTCCGAAACTATGGCTTTGTCAGAGCATCTAGAAGAAGACTTATTTACTAATAATCTAAGAAATGTGAGTATATAGAAATACGTTTTTTAAAAGTTTTTTTAAATATAAGTAGACTGCTGCTTGTGTAGATTTAACCCGTTATGCAATACTCTGTAAATGTACTCGTAATATTCAAGTCTTGAAAATAATGAATCTTAGAATTTTTGAATCCAGCCCTAAAGAGAAGGAGTAAGGTTTGTAATTATTTTTCTGCCATCCTATGTTGCACACCAACATTTTTAGCATGTGAATATTAATCTTATTCGGCTCTTCTGATAAAAATGTCGAATTATCTTATAGTTAGTGTTGTTTATGGTAAACATACTGAGGTTAAATACTTTTGTCTTATTACTTACATGTTTTTGTTCCCATCCCTACCACAGAACCAAGAAGCTATCGAGATCGGTCTGAACGCACTGGATGTTCTGGACGAAATCTACCTGGTCAACAGGATGCCGGAATATTCGAACGAAGATGTGTTCTTTGACATTGCCATGTCAACGGTAAATTCTACAATTTTAATCAATTACATTTTTCTGCACAAAGACATCAAATTTGCTATGCATATACACATGCAAATTTGTGTGTGTGTATGAGTACATGTGCATGTGGGTACATGCTTGCCTGCATGTGCGTGCATTCGTCTCTTTCTGTGATTCCCAACATACTTAGCGCGATTTTCCCATTGTTCCTACTGGTATTACATTTTTTTGGTGTCTTAGAAGTTCATCTCTACTGGTAGAAGTCATTATGGAACATTTTTAAACTGTTATTTCTAACACAATGGATTGGACTTATTTTATTATTTTTAAAAGTACAACTCCGTTCCTTAATAATGCCTTTTGTTAAACAGTCGTAAATTTGTTCGTAGTTCTTGACGGATAATCAAAGCTGTGGGTATACACCCTGACATGGTAACATGACTGCTGTATCTATTATAGGCTCAAGTCAGAATTCAGCGGGAACGTCAGGACGACCCCTCAGAGAAAGTGTACACTGTCGGTGGAACGGGCGGAAGGAGCAACTCCCTCGTTCGGGTTCCGTCATTTTCTTCTCTTCCTAACGGTTCTTGTCCTTGGGACACAGTCGGCGTTCAGGTGGGTATTTTTTTATTCATTTTGACCAAAAATATTCTTGTTGGATATATTATTTAGACAACAATGGTTTAGGGGATGTTAGTAGGTATTTATTTCTCAGCAAGACGGATTGCTGATGACTTAGCAGAACTTGTTGAAAAAAAAGTCAGGTCGTATAGTTGGGTCGTGTAGTGGGGTCGTGTGGCGTTGCGGCAGAGCGCTCGAATCAGAACCAAAGGGTCCCGGGTGCGCTCGAATTAGAACCAAAGGGTCCCGGGTTCAAGTCCTGACTTGCCACCGATCTTGTGACCTTTGGAAAGGCACTTCACACGACTTGCCTCACTTCGCTCAGGTGAAAATGAGTATTGTATTGTCCCTTTTGTCGGTGGCTGCATTAATATAAGTTGAAAAAAAAACTTGAGTCTGGGATAAAAAAAAAGGTCAGGTCACCAAAGTATGGAATCCAAACATTCCTGCTATTGATTTTCAGTTTCTGGAGTTGAACTTCAACCCGTTCGAATATTCCAACAACTCCCGCATCATCCGTGCTGACGTCACGGGCCTTCACGTCAAGTGTGGAAACGTCACGATTCCGGTTTCCGAACTGAGTCGGCCGAACGACATCTTAACTAGCAGAAAAAACGAAAGTCTTGAAAACTTGATGTATGTTTTCAAGGCGTCTGAACTTCTTGGCAATCTGACTGTAAGTAACTCAGAAACTTGCATAAATGTTGGTAAAAGTTGCTATGTATAGACGTGATATTTGCCGACTAATGCAGAAGTCTAGACCTTTACATAGTCTCACTGGCCACCTATCTCTCTCCTTCTTTCTCTCACTGCAAATATGTCTCTGAATCATTTGCCTCCCTCTCCTCTAAAATGCATAGACTTATAGGTTTTCTTTTTTCATAAAAGAACAAAATGCAAAAAGCACGGAATGAGATGTAGCAAATATTATGAAAAACTTAAACTGTTCTCCAACTTAAAATTTGACTCACCAGAAATTTTCGACTGAATCACTCAGTCTTCCTCAGCTATCTGACCCAAATGCTGTGGACACGTGATTTTCCCATGTGTGACGTCAGCAAAGGGTCAAAGGTTGTCTGAAGTCATGTAATTTACCAACTCAGATGAACTTTCATGCTGATGTAGCAAATATCTTTAACGTGTTGTCTAGTCTTGAAGGCTGGATATTGTATAGTTTCCTGTCACAATCTTTTACTGCGAACTTTTATCTATTGTGATAATGGTTGAATGCAGGCAGTGTTATTAGATTAATGGTGTATTAAACCTTTTTTAATCTCTTTTGAAGGGATAATGACCACGATTTATTGATGCCCAACAAGATACATTAAGTTGATAATCATATTCCACCTCATGTGAAAGATATGATTGTTTCCTAAGAAGCTAATCTTGCGACATGTGCAATGTCTATCAAGCCTGACATGCCCGGCCAATTACCCACCCTATGGGGCCAACCACTGTCTGTTGTTGTTAATGTTGTCCTGAGCAAACTGCTGGCAGCGATAACTAAACAAGGACTGTTTGAATGCACAAGATATGCATAAAATGTGAAATATTGACACAGATGTATTGAAAAGTGATAGTAACTGTTTATAACACCGAAATTTAGTATAATTAGAATATTTCATATTTTTGCGTAAAAAGTTACATAATGCAGCTTTAATATGCTTTAAAATTCTTGTTTCAGTTTTTCCCGTTCGTTGTAAAGGATAATCAGTCAGCATTAAGCTTCAGCTTCACCTTCAACAGCACCCTGTTCCCGCATGGCATCACCTTGTTTCTCCGCAAGGAGGCGCCGCCGACTCCCGAGGACTACAACTGGACCACCACCCTGCCTGTTCCTGATGAACAGGTAAGGTTTGGGTGCTTTAAATTTTAATAGCTCTAACTTACTCTCCAAGCAGAGGTTTTGGGTTTTTTTGCGTGTTTTTAGGCGTTTATCCGCCCCCCCCCCAAAAAAAAAAACTCCAGCGCAAAAAAAGAAACCCCGGTAAAAAAAGCTAAAAACACGCCAAGAATAACCCAAACCTCTGATTGGAGAGTACTTCTAACTCTAACGAACAATCTTAGATTCTGTGTCGTTGATTTTACTTGAATGCTTGTCTTACCTAATATTTTGTTCTTTGATAACCGATCTTGTTGGCAAAAACAGTTTTTAGACTAGAGTACAAAATTCATTTAGCAGGGTGATAACTACAATAGAATTGGTGCAAACCTAGAATGGACAAATCTGCTGTATGTCTGTTACTGCTAGATTGTGTCCATCCCGTGGATAAATGGAACAGTCCTGACATCCAACCCCTACCATTGGCTGCTGTCCCCGGAGGAAATCCACATCACGGATGATGATGTTGATGGCAGGACGAACTACTACCTTGGTTATTTAACATTGTTTGGCTATTTTTTACTGCGATTATTATCTATATACTCCATTGCCTATTACTTTTACTAGACAGTAAGATCCATGTACTAGTATGTAACGTACATGCAGGTTATATACCTTTAACTTTTGAGGGTGTTATACCTGGGGCTGAGAGAATATTTCAAACAATAGAGAAGAATATTTTTTTTCAATGGACACCATGCGTACATATTTAACGTACATATGTTATAGGTAAAAATATAATCTATAGTCTTAAATGCCTTAAAGATTAAAATGTTGAGAATTTCCACGGTAGAATTTCTGTTTACCTCGAAATTCACAAGTAATAATCTTTGTCAGCACTACGCCGTTTCTTCCACATAAGACTTTTTTTATAACTATAAATACCATGCATGTCCATTAACTGTTGCTGCAAATATTTAGTATCTTGTGTCACTAGCAATGTCACACCTGGCATGTGTCGATGTTTTAGGCCACTATTATCAGAAACACCTCTGGGACATACTTGAGACATAATTATGCACCAACAATCATACCTGTCGTTAGTAATGAATGGCTTACTCCAACAAAGAAGGATAATCATTTTGATCTAAAACAAACATAGTTTATGGCCTAAAGAAACAATTATTACACCTACAGTTATTATAACATTTGGTAAATCCTAAATTTTTATGCATAAATAACCACAGGATGCTCAGAAGCGTAATTTAACAGGCTATTTTGGACTGTTGGAATGCTTCCCCCTTTTTTTATTCTACTGTCAGGTGTACGATTTGGCTCTGAACAGAACCTAAGTAGTGGACAGATTGTAGACTTCACTCTGCACATCTTCGAGACGTCCTGTGTTTATTTTGACGAGGATGTGGACTTGTGGCACAGTGATGGTTGTAAGGTGAGGTGATTGTTAATTTTGTTTTGTATAACTAGAACACCCCTTCCAGCAATCCACTGCTTTTGCAATGTATAGTTTCGAAAGTAAAATTGAACACTCGAGAAACAGTAAATCACAACAAAAGTTTATAGCACCACCCGACTCTTTTAGTCAGGGTGGATTGGATCTGTATCAACGGATATGCACGATGGTGGTGGATTGCCTATTCAATAACAAAAACAGTCGGGCATTCCACCTTTCGTTTTGGAAATTAAAGCTTAAAGCTGCATTGTGTAACATTAGAACAATACAAAAATTATATCCCATGGCCAGTTTCTTTTCAAAGTAAGTTGATTCGACCCTATATACAAATAAGTTTAATTCAGGAAGTAAAGGCGCCAGAATATGATGCATTATGAATGTGTTTAAAAAACCTTGAATCATAGCTGTCATTCATGTTTGTTTACATTCTGGTAGATTTTGGTGGCACCATAAACTGGGTGGGCCTAGCTGTTTTGTGTCAACCATAAATGCCAAAAAAGTAAGGTCATTGCACAGGGAAAAGTAAATAACAATCACACTGACATCATTAAATAAAAAAATAATTTCCAGAATGATTTTATGAATTCAGATAAACTGCAACTATATACTAACTATCGTATAATCATACAATGTAGGTAGGAATGATGTCCAATGCCAGCCACATCCACTGCCAATGCGACCATCTGACAAAGTTTAGCGGCTTCGTTACCCCGAATCCTCTCAACCTCGCTGCGGCGCTGTCTGCCAACGTTCTAGAGAACCCAGCAGGGCTCATTCTCGTACTTACCGTGCTCGGCATGTACTTCATGGGGCTCGTGTGGACAAGGAAACAGGACAGGAGGGACTTGAACAAGGTAGTGGAAAGGAATTACTTATTTCTTGCACCCAGGAAAGAAGACTAAGGCCATAGAAAGTAATTTTTAGAGCACCTAATTCACAGATTCTAAATCTAATGCGGAAAATGAACAAACAACAGGCGGGCCATATTCAAATTTTGACATCATAAACAATGAAACCATAAAACAACAAATTATACCTATATTAAACAAATTTGAAAATAAGTTTTCAATCATGGTACAAATGGTTTTTATCCAGTCGCATCAATATATCAAATATAAAAGAAATGACATACAACACTGCACCAAATAAGAGACATTGCTCACATCTTCATATTTATCTGCCACCCACGTTCCCTCGTGGCAGCGGACGTCTTTGTGCCAATTTTCGAGATATTGACCACTGTCAGAGGGCAACAAATTTGCTACTTTTTTAAATCGAAAATTAAAGCGCGCTGATGTCATCCTTAAAAATTACTTGCTGTGGCCTAATTTGATTGTGGCCTGATTTGATTGTACCACAATAGAAAATGGGTGATGAACACTGTGCATGGTACTGAACGCCTAATCTGAACATTTTATAATTTGCGAGTGTTTATTACAGGGTCTTATTTTAGGTGACAATTACTATTTGTGTTAACCCTTCATTGGTAGCGTTATTCTAACAACATAAGGGCATTGCTTTGGAATAAAATCCTAAGAAAGATGGATTTTCCATGTCAGGTTGGAGTTGGAATCCTACCCGGACACAGACTGAACCCCAGAAAGGACTGTCAATACGTCATCACTGTTTACACTGGATTCAAGGGGAATGCTGGGACAACTGCAGAGGTAGGTTAGATTTTATCACAGTGTATGTAAAATATTGTTAATCTGTACATGAACGACTTATTGAATCTTCCAACATTCTAAAGTTGTAGTGTTTCTAATGGCTTCTTGACCGTTGTCCTGTTGGATCTTTTTACACAATATTTTATGATAATTTCATGTCTTGATTAGGTAATAGACACCCAGACTTTTTTGCCCTATTGTGGCATAGTTACTTCCGCATCCATTGCGTTTCGCTGCGGTGTAATGTGTTGCACGAGAAATACCCCAAATCATACCTAACCTGTTGGGATTTATTACTTTCTTGTTAGGTTACAATTGTGCTTTACAGTCAAGACAAGAAAAGTCCTCCTTACACGCTCAGTGACTCGACAAGAATAACTTTTGAGAAGGGCAGCGTGGACTCCTTTCTCGTGTCGACATCAGAGCCACTGGGAGATCTGACTTACCTACGTGTGTGGCACAACAATGCAGGATACAGCCCTGCATGGTAAGTTCGTGTCGACTTATCTGTCTGTCTGTCTACCTCTGCCTTTGTTAGTGTTTATATGTATTTGTTTGTGCATGTGCGTGTGTGTGCGTCTGTATGTGTATCTGTGTGTGTGTGTTTCTGAATGTATTTATTAATATGTGCGTTTGTGCGCAGTTGTGTAGATGCACGTGCACGTGTGTTTGTGCGTATTTGTAAGTGCTAATGCATTTTGTGTTTGTGTTTGTGGGTATGTGTATTTGTGTATATGTGCGTGTACGTAGTAAGTTTCTGTATTTACCAGTCTTAAGTCTGCTATCCTTTCTTGCCTTGTTTAGCTTTTGCCATGCCTTTGCGAGGATAGCATCTAAGCATCTAAGATATGTGACGGTTCCTGATAGTCTAATAGTACATTTATTCATTTTAGTGGATTTTGGAAATGCTTTAAGTAAAGAAAAAGTGCCAAACTAATTTGATTGGGTATTGTAAATATTCAAACCGTTGTAGTGGTTTTATTTGTTCGGATTATAAATAAATTTAACCTTTCCAAATCCAAGGCACAGTATATATGCGTTATCAACGTATTGCTATGTAATGCATAATTGTTTTAAATTAACTGTAGAACCCTTATTTAGAATGAATCCAGTTTGTTATGTAATACAGTAGTTAACAAACTACTTATTTGATAATCTTTTTCCAGGTTCCTCAATCAAATTGTAGTGACTAACCAGGAAAACAACAGGTCACACTTTTTCATATGCAACAGGTAAGGTACATCGTAATGCATGCGATTGAAAGATTTAATAAAAGAGGGTTTGAAAAATACGTTGTTATGAATTGTTTGCTGAACTAGTACATATTCGACTTTCGCCTCCTATGTACGAACATGTGGGACCAATATGACCTCTAATTCTACATTTCTACATTCTACATATGGTCACCACACTTCCGTAACTTCTTGATACCCCCATCATCATATACTCTACTATGTACTAATAACAGTTATGGACAAAAACGCCCCGTACACACAGCCAAGTAACATATTAAAAGTCTTAATTATATATTAATTGATAGTGAATGAATATAGAAAAATACATAAGAAACTAAAAAATTGTATTTCGGCATTATCTGTTGTTCTTAAATTTCTCTTGTACAGGTGGTTTGCTATCGACAAGGATGACGGCAGAGTTTTTCGCCACCTGCCCGAATCCAGCCCAGATGAGATTAAGGAATTTCGCAACTTATTTCTTACAAGAAGTTCGAGGTACCAATGTTTTTGTTAATATAATGTACTTTGTTGTGTGTAGCTGTGTAAATATATATGTTTTTAATATAATATAATAATTATAAATTTTAGCACTTCGGATTAAATTGTACTTAAATGATGTAGCTTGGCTTGCTGTTTTGTCTTTCCCTCGTGATTTCAATCGAAATCCGCTAGCATTTGCCTTGTTTTAAGAAAATAAATATGCTCAAAGAAACAAACGAATGAATGAACAAGGTAAATCTAGAAACTTCCTGCTCAATGACGATGTTTATGATATAATGATTGACTTAGACATAAAGTCACTCGCAGTCTTTGGGTAAATTGTTGATTTTTTTCTAAAATGAAACATAAAAACGTTAGTATCAACGTTTTTCAATAAAAATGTCAGCCTTCAAGTTGCTTTTTCATGTTCTGCCTGAAATGTTTAGACTTTGTTTATACTTTTCAAACATATTTGCTATTCTATCATCACAGGGACATGAACGACGGTCACCTGTGGTTCTCCGTGGCGGGCCGCCCGGCACGAAGCCCGTTCACCCGAGTCCAGCGCCTGTCCTGCTGCCTGACGCTGCTCTACAGCACCATGGTCACCAACATCATGTTTTTCGGCCGCGGGGACGACTTCGACCCGCCGGAACCACTCAGATTCGCCGGGGTGGAGATCAATCCACCTATTTCTCTACCTCAGGTTTGTAGGATTTACTTATTGACCACTTATTAAACCTACCCAGTAACCTCGTACCTCAAACACTTATTCACTCACTCAAACACTCACTCACTCACTCACTCACTCACTCACTCACTCACTCACTCACTCATGATCACTCACTCACTCACTCACTCACTCAAAAACACGCTTATTTACTCAAAAACACGCTTATTTACTCACTCGCGTATTCCTTCACTTACTCAACCAAAACACGTCTGAAATGTTTGAAACGACCTACATTTATCGGTAACAATCCAAAGTATTTGAAAAATGTCAACTACGATTTCTTTGTTATATGAATTGTTCTTAAACTGCGTAAGGAAACGTTTACATGTGTGCAGATTTTCCACGTTTAGAGATTTTTAAGGTCTTTTTGCTGAACCTGTTATATTTTGTTTGACCCTTACTTTTCCAAGTTTAACATCAACGAAAAGTGGTGAGCAGGTCTATATGATTACTTCATGAATAAAAAAAAGCCAAGACTCATTCAGACTCCATCAATTTCAGATCATGATAGGTCTACAGAGCGCAGCCATCATCCTGCCTGTCAACCTGCTCATCGTGTTCCTCTTCCGAAATTCTGACTCCCCTCCAGCAAATAAGAGAAAACAAAAGTCCAGGGATAAGAAAGATAGAAGCACTGATCATGGCGTAGGCGACTTCGAAGAGACGGGAAAGTTTGCCATCCCGTGGTGGGCTGTTTACTTCGGTATGTTAACCCTCAACAGAACACCTTCCCGGACTGATTAATCTGTACACCTGGGGTCCGCGCGGACCCCAGAACAGTTTTTTGCTAATTTTAGAAATTATCAACATGCAACCAGCTCAATTGTTTTGCAAACTGATGTGGGAACCTCTGTGTCCACATTACATACAAAAATCATACGTTTTGAACTTTTTCTATTTTTTGGTGAAGACAAGAAGACAAGAAGAAATACCCGATTTTTAATCCCATTTCAGACTGAAGGGGCTTTTGAGGCCCAACTTTGATCGCAGATAGCGGCTAAACGGCTTGCGCTAGAAGTATCAAATTTGGAGACCTTTCCTAAAATGTCTCTGGAAAAAAGTTCATATTAGTTTAATACTAGTAAGTTGATGTTTTTTGTGTTGCCATGGCAACGGGTTTCTTTTTTTGAAAATAGAAGTAATTTTGGTTTAAACATAAAAATTTTCTGAGTTTTATATTAAATTACACTTCTTTTCAACATTAATAACATCTTACATAATTAAATATCAATTAAATCAGTTAATATGCATAGAATATGCTAATTTGATGACGTCATTGGTCAAAATCCAATATGGCGGACTATATTATTAGCTCTGACATCATATGACGTCATAATTACACCAAAGTTATTAAAATTTAATTCTATTACTACACCATTCTCTGAAAACTTGGTAGACATACCATGAGTGCATAAAAACATATAAAAACGGAAATAAGGTAATGTATAAGAACGCCAGTGTATCCATTATGATCGAAAGCCGGCTGGGGTCCGCGCGGACCCCAAAAGAAAATCATATATAATTTTTTTATAAATGGTAGAAACGGAGTTTTCTGCACTGTATTGAGAGACAACTTTGTGGGTGACAATTACCTAAAATTTCAGAAAAAATCTTCAGATACAAAAAAGATATTACAGAATATATACTGCTGGGGTCCGCGCGGACCCCAGGTGTACTGTTTAGGGTTAAAGTCATATACGCAGTAGGCTGGTTTGGCTTGGTAATTAAAAGGGCTGCTAGAAGCTTCATGTAGTCAATTGCAAGCTAATTTTCATGACGTCAGTGATAAACATAACAATCGCTTACGTCGATAAAGGTTAGACATCAAGGTAATAAGATATGCCAAAAATCAATTACTCAGGCAATTGGGTATGATTTTGGAAACGGTCAGACGTTTCAGCTAGTATTCACTAGCTTTTGTCAACTGACGAAAGCTGACTATCTTAAGAAACCTAGTGGACGCTATCTGAAACGGCTGACCGTTTCCAAATTCATATTCAGTTGCTTAAGTAACTGTTTTTCTTTTGCGTATAACAATTACTTATACAAAATTATAAAGTAGGTATTACCTTAATCTATAAAAGTGATAGTTTGGGTAGAGAAATTTAGCTTTATGCTGTCTTAATTAAAGTGACACGAAAATAGATATTTGAAAATGCTTATTTCTAGACATTGACTTGCCAAATATCTTGTTAGGATAGCCTTTGATCATTTTCTCAATCAAATTCAGAATTTCCTTATAGTTTAAAAAGAGAAAAAAGATATTGCTATTTTTGTGTGGTCTTTAATCAAGTAATCAATCTAACAACATTGCATTGTAATACAATGTCCCTGCAAAAACCTTAACATAGCTTGATTTCAAAATTATTTTCCATACAGGCTGGTTGCTTGTCTGGTCCACGAGCTTCGTGGCTGCGTTCTTCACCGTCCTGTACTCCCTGAGTTTCGGACGTGCAAAGGCGGAGGCGTGGCTCTTCACTTTTCTGACGTCATTCCTCACCGACCTGTTCCTGGTGCAGCCGTTCAAGCTACTGTTGGTCGCCATGTTGTTTGCCTTATTAGTCAAGGTACCTTTAAGCCTTGTTCACACGGAAACGCTTGAACCGCGATTCGGTTAACACACATTCTTTACATCTGTCCACACATTCCTTTCAAACCATGCCCGGTAATAATTCTCCTAATCCACATTAGTTGTTATTTGATGAAAACACGCACGTATCGTGTTGTACTCGTCAGAGGTCAACGACCTGCTTCCTGGTGCCCCCCTTCCAGCGTAGCCCTTCCAGCGTACAAATGCCGACGCCGAATGCCGACGAATGCCGACGTGGTCCCGCCAGAGGCTTGAAAGCTCGACCTAGAATGGACACATTATTCGAACATTACTGCTCTTGAAGTTCTTGCCACGTAAATTTTGGTATTGCATATAAATTTAAAAAATATCATCCCGTAAGCCATGACCAGCAGAAGTCACCGGGGAAACCGGTTCGAAACCGGTTCGAAACCACCTCTCGAAGTGGTTTGGGATCGAGGCACTTTCGATGTGATTTGGAGCGTTCAGATGGGGCCACTTGAAACCGGATTTCACTGACTTCATTTGGACAGGGCCTTAGTTGTTACCTCCGTGTACGACGGTACATGGCTGGGTGAATTCACAAAAGGTCAGGCACAGGACGCAGGGTCATTATCCTGGCTGAGCAGGAAAAGTTTTTAAAAATTGTTGGGTTTATATTAGACTATTTGTTCCGGAGATTAGTTTGATACTAGGGCCCGCGTGTTGGGACATTCTGGAGCCTGATGTGATTTTTCTCGTTTTTAAATGAATACTACAGAAACCTATTGAAGACGAGGACCCCGAGCCTGCACCATTACAACATGATGAAGAGTACCTCCAGGATAACAGACGGGTAGGATTTTAATTTCTTTTTGGTTGGCTATCTCTACCCATGGAAACATAATAACTACAACCATACATAATATGTATGCCTGCAAATGTAGTTATCACTGCTTCCAAGACGTGTGGGTAAGTAGTGAAGTCTGGCTTTTATAATTACTTTTTTAATAACACTATACAGATAGTGGAAAACCAACAATGGTCAACAGCAACAGGATGGATGCGTTATCTGTGGGCAGAGAAGACTGAATCCCGCCATTGCACAAGTGTAAGATTTTTTTAACATCATTATCATCATAGTCGCTCCATGGTGCTATCGCTCCTGTGGGCGAACCTTTTCCTGAATAACTCTAGTTTTGTATTCAGTTTCACTTAGCTGCTTTGGGCTAAGTGTTTTGGCCAAGTCGATTCGCCAAATCGTTTTGTAGTATGTCTCATTGTTTTGCTCATTGGTGCCTATATTCAGTTATTCTGATAGTCCACCTGTTGTCTTTAATCCTTGCTACATCTTGTCCAAACATGATTGAAAATGAGCACCATTTTATAATGGATTGTACACTCTACAATGATAAGCGCCTATTGCTGTTCACCTTTCTTTCCGCTTGTTCAATTGATTTCAATACGTTAGATGCTATAGATAAATTCAACTACATTCTCAGGGGAGATAACCAATACAGTGTTCAAATAGGAAAATACATTAAAGAATGTTTCGATCTTAGAGACCACATGTTAGAGAATAGTTAACCTTTATTGTTACATCATACATATACTCTGCACGTAAGATGACGTTATCCACACATGTATGTAGCTTTGTTTTTGGCCGTATAGCTAGCAGCAATTATGTTCGTTACTTCTATCTAGAGTAGAATCAAGATGCTTCGCTTTATCACAGTGAAGAAATATATATATATATATATATTATATGAGTATATAGTAACTATAATAGCAATAATTTGCAAAAAATGCAATAAATTATATTAGACAGAAAATGACGGTATTTTCTATTATAATTTTGTCCCAATAAATCTTGCGTCCTATTTTGAAAGAAAATGGTTATCCATTTGAATTCTGTGCATCCATAGAATTACTTCTGTGAAGTAACAGAGTTTAATTTTCTTTTTTTTTCAATTTGTTCTTATAGACGCCTGAAGTGGTACAAGCTAACTCACCACCTGATGAATCTACATTGACCGTACTCCGCGCTCAGAGCACTCAAAAGCGCAGGAGACGTAAACAGATAGTTGAGGTTTTGATGTTTGGACTGTTTGTGACCGTGATTATGTTGACGTCTTACGGAGAAAGAAGCCCCTTGGCTTTCTACGTGACGAAGGATGTGCAGGGGCTTATTCTTGACAGTGGCGACATCAGTTTCTCAGAGGTAATGACTTGAAGTAATTTCTTTTATAATTTGTTACTTTGTTTTCGGGGGCACTGTATGGGGGGATAGGGCTGGCGCAGCAGCAGTAGTAGGAAGTCAGTAGTGTGTATGTAGATAATTGGTTTCTGATGATGTAGTATGTTTTGACCAGGCGTTTCCTAACTTTTAGAATGTGGTTTTCGAGTGCAGCAGAAATTTTTACTTTGTGATTATGGTTAAAGGAAAAAGCAATGATGTAATATCAAAATGCGTTACGTAATACAATTGTATGACTAGTAATCCATTATTCATCACCGCAATACATATCTCCAATCTCTGTTTTACGCTTTAGATCGAAGACATCCCAACGTTCTGGACTTGGGTGAAAACCGGGTTGATCCCTGCCACCCATGTGTCCCGATGGTACAACGGCTGGAGCGTCACGGAGACCATGATCCTGGATGACATGTTAACTCACCCGCTGGGACCAGTGCAGCTGAGACAAGTGCGACTTAAACCAGGTGAGTCTGATTTTCTAAACAATTATTTTTTAATATCGCCAGGCTTTGGCTACATTTAGTGTCATGTCTTAGATAGGATGTTTAATTTTATTGGTCACGAGAGCGGTTTCCACTGAAAAATGTGAATACCTTTCAATACAAAAAATCCAAAACTAGAAATCAACGAGTACTATCGTTATAGTTGTTAAGATCCTGCTTTTTTTCTTTTAAAATGTTGTTAACAAAGTGAAAATATTTATTATATCAGAACCATGTATATTTTCCAGGAAAACACTGTGAACCACCTAGAAGAATGGCGACCATGACGCCTGGCTGTGTTGCTATGTATTCTCTGGATTTATCCGACACACAGAACTACACAAAACGGTGGAACACTACTGCAAACATCACGGAAAAATCTCTTTGCATTTCAACAGCAACAGAATCACTTGAACTTAACGACTGTTCGTCAGCAGAAGATGGTGGACAGGATCCATGGAGGTACATGTTCGCCCCCGTGACTGATGGTGAGATATGTCCTTTTTATTACAATAATAATAAATATTTTGTGTCGGCAAAATCGAAAATTATTCAGAAAAAAAAGTTAACTGTATTTTTTTCTATAAAATGTCGAACATTTCTTCGACTTTTGTCTTAGTCAAGGAATGGACAATCCACAGTGACAACTCATTTTAAACCCAAGAAACCTGACTAATTGTATGATTGGTCATTTCTTGACGCAGATAGTCGTCAATTTGTGTTGAAAATTATAGTTTGTTCGACCCCTACTTAAAAATAGCATCTAAGTTTATATGTTTGGTGATATAACATAGTTTGAAAGAAGCAGTTGAGGCATATGATTCTATGTATTCAAATACAATTGTGATGTATAAATGTCTGTGTTCGTAAACATGCTTTTGCACTCGTGTTTTTGTGTATGTTTGTTTTGTGTAAATGGGTGTGTGTGTTTCTGCACTGCATTTTCTGTATTTTGCAACAGACGGCGCTGTTTTCACTAAATGTTTCTTCACACAGCTTTTCCGTACTTTGGAGTACGGGGCACCTACTCAGCAGGTGGCTACGTCACGTCTTTGGGAAGAACAGAACAAACCAGCTTAGCTCGTGCAGCTTACCTACAGCGACAAGACTGGCTGGACGACAAGACACGGGCAGTTTTCATAGAACTCACCCTGTACAACCCGCACGTCAACTTGTTTTCCGTGGTTTCCATGGCAGTAGAGTTCACCAATCTCGGAGCCACCTACAAGGGGTCAGAGGTCGTGACCTTGAGACTCATCCAACGTGACGCCATCTTGCTTCTCGCTCTGAGAGCAGTCTTTGCTCTGTTGCTTCTTATATATGCCATTAAGGAGGGTGAGTACTACTGATTTAAAGTCATATCACAGAGTTGTTAGAGCACGGAGAAATAAAAAAAAACTTTTTATCCTCCAAATGCCAATATCATTCGCCGAAATTAAAAAACAGTCTCATCAATCATGAAAATCGCATAATTCTCATCATCTCCTAATTTACATGGTACTTAAAATATATATAGGTTCTAATGTCCTCTATTTTATCTAGATGAAGGCAGTGAAAAAATACGCTTACATCTGTCTAGGGGTTCCAATTTGTAGACGTGTCGCATATCTTTAAAATTTAAATCATGATCTTCTAAAATTTACATATAATTCATTTTTGACATCCTTTCTTCCAAGGAAAAGCGTTGTTGTCACGCCCCCTTGACTACCTGAGTGAGTTCTGGAGCTGGGTAGAACTTTTTGTCATCGCTGTTGGCTTCTCAGCTCTCGGTGTCTACTTCTACACTCAGAGTATCATCGACGAAGTCGCAGTACAGCGTGCGGCCGGAAACTCCTCCTTCATAGGTTACAAAAGCGCCGTCAGCTGGTACCAGGTCTACACCTACCTTCTGGGCCTTCTCATCTGCTGCTCTACGTTCAAGTTCGTCCGGATCCTCCGCTTCAACTCCCACGTGTACGCCTTGTCCATGACATTGAGACGATCTCTCAAGCCTGTAACACAGTTCATGTTCACGGCTGGAATCGTCATCATGGCTTTTACCCAGACGGCAAGCTTGATTTTCGGAGTCACGCTCATGGAGTACAAGAACATAACATCTAGTCTACAAAGCCTTCTGTTGATGATGTTAGGTAGCTTTGATTTTGAAGCTTTAAGTCAAGGACATCGTATTCTGGGCCCGTTGATGTTTTTCTTTTACCAGTGCATGATGCAGTTTTTCTTGCTAAGCATGTTTATGGCTATCGTAATGGACGTGTACGCAGATGAAAATCAACCCACAAACCAAGAAAGGCTGGAGTTTAATGACTTTTTAAGAGAATCCGCCTCAAATACAATAAGAAAAGTAAAGGGTGCTTCTAAGTGTACTTTCCGTAAGAAAAAGAGGGCACAACGAAAGTACAGACGGGATATGGCTACGCAGATTGATCAAGTGGTTGTTAAGTTTGGTACGTACGACACATTCCAAGCTACTAGTAACTAAACTACAACTAGACGCGTGTATATGCAGCGTTCCTGCATGGTTCAACCAGAATTTGTTTTTTATACTTGTGTACCTATTTCATATCATTTTGTTTTGGGCAGTAATGTTAAATATTAAGATCAAAATTAAACACTAATTCATTAATATATATATAGTTATTGCTATGATTATTTCCATATCAAGACCACATAAATGGCATTATTATACATTGTTATACGTATTACATAATACATATGGCGCAGAGGTCCATTTGTCCATCCTGCCATAGAACCTGCTGGTCAAAGATTGAACTGTACAGTCACATGGCGGCCTGCAGAGGGCAACCCTCCTAGTATCTTTGGACAGGAAGCTCCAGCAATCATCTTCAATGCAAATTCATAAACAGTATACTATCATATATCAGTGACTAAAAACAATTTAATCAGAACTATAATATGTGAATCCCCAGTGTCATTTTTTGTCTTCTTTCTTTTTTTTTGTTTTATTTCTAACACACATATAAATATACTGTTATGAAATAAAGACTAAGCTTTAACTTCCAACACTTAGATTACAGAAATGGGACTTACCCCAAATTTTCAGTTGACTCCATCAACCTCGTTCATGGAATGGACCCGTCTACTCTTGGAACGTGACGTCAGAGGGCACCAACACTGACGTCAAAATGACGTCACAAAATTATGACATGCATAATTAAGCTGTCGGCCATTTTGGATCGGAAATCTTGAATTTTGAAAATTGCTTTTATTTCAAGATACAACCTCGAAACGCAACGCAAATGGACAAAAACGTTCATATTAACGTTTTATGTGACAAAATATAAAGTTGACAAATCAATAATGAAAAAACATGCTTACACATAAGATGTTGTGTAATATGGTCCACATGGATTTTGAACGATGGACTCATTAAATTAGCATTAAGTATGGGTGGGAGACAGGTATTTCTTTTTACATAACCGGTAAATTCTCACCTTCCTGACGTTTCGGTGTCTGTCAGACACTACTATACTATAGTTTGTGCAGCTTCGAACATTTTCGTCACTTTGGGTTCCGAAACTATACCAATCCCAATTGAACGTAAACTGTGTTGTGCGTTGTCGAAAATGACTGTCAGTGCACTCATACAGAGGGGAGCGACCTTAGCTGGCTTCTTGAGACTCAAAGTCGTCCACACTTCTGGCATTGGTGGCCCGGTACCATAACTGCCATTTTTGCTGCTTTGTGACATTTGACCCTCAAAGTACCCCCCCCCCCACGGTCTCAGCATTATCAAGAAAGCCCGGTCTAAATAGGGTAGCGTATAAGGCAATCAGCAACTCTATAGCATAGATAGTATTTTATTCTTTTACATACTATCTAGTTATTAAAAGAAGCATTCACTACCCAACGAGTGTAATCAAATGCAACACCCTACCGGACTATCTGGTGGGAGCACCATTGATTAAGCATCTTAAAACTAGGGTTAACAAGTAAAATCTGAGATTTATACCTTCGGGCTTTTTATTGTGTATTTGTTTTTTGTTGTATGGTATGTATAGTTGATGGTGTTAAATTTTATGTGTTAGATTTAGTGTTCCTGATTGTGTTAACACAGGTCAAAATTTTCATCTGCAACCCATAACAACCGCAAGAAACTCGTAATGAAACTCAGAATGACACTCGGAACCGTTAAATCAGGCTTTAAAATTAAAGGGTTATCAGTGTTACGACATACATTACTGCAGAAGCATACGGCAAAAACACGGGCACATGCCCACACAAATATTTCCCTCGAAAGTGATTGGGGTCAAAAATGATACTTACAGAAGCTTGCTGCTTATAGTACGTCAAATATACAATGATTTACAAGAAGTTGTTGTAATGTAGGCACGTATGTAAATGTTTGCATAATACACATTTGCATACTTGTGATTCGATACATGCCGCCTTTTACCAGGTCAGATACACTTCCGGGTTCGGTCGAGTAAAAAAAATATGTGAAAAGGCATCATAAATCCGCAAAGAAATATATACTTTCACCAAAGGTTCTTTGAATTGTGCATATTTAAAAACAAGAGTTCCACGATCTCATACCTTCGCCAAATGATGTTAACCCTTGCGGGTGACGAATTATACAATTTTAATCATTGATTTTGTAAATAAGAGCCTCATTTGCATGGATTATATCAGTTGATCATATTCTCCATCCAATGACGGCCTTATCATAACAAAAAGGCTATTATAGCACTTCCTCATAAATTATGCAAATGAGGTCATGATTTGAATAAATTATGTTTATTGACGTTCACCTTCACTTAACTTCCAAATGTGGCAAGTATGAAATTCGGGGTGCAGCAGTTACAACTATGAAATTATAAGAATCTGCCATTAAGCATGCAAATTAGGTCCTCATTTACATAATCTATATCCTCAGATGTTTTTCTCGTTCTCAAGTAGATGTCACAAGTGTTTCATAGTTCTATTATTGAACAAAGCAGATTTATAGAATTTCCTCATTAATTATGCAAATTAAGTCCTGATTTGCATAGTTGCCATCTGATTATGTCAAGCATCACTTCAACTACCTACATACCAAAAATCACAACAATGCGTCAACCGGTTCTTGAGTTATTGTCCTTCGAATCTTTTTCAACAAATGCTCCTGCAGTTCCAGAACAAGGCGCTAGGGGTACCCAAACTCATGTCACTACTTCCCTATTCCAAGAGCTATCTGCCATCCAAAATTCGTGACCCTAGCATGTCCAGATCACGAGATATCAAAACCGGAAGTTCTGCTGCAGTACCTACGAAAGCCGCCAGGGGGCCCAAAATCTAATCATTTCTAGGTCTCATGAAGACCTACCTACCTACCAAGTTTCATTCCAATCCATCCACTGCTTCTTGAGTTATCTTGCTAAACCACACACACACACACAAACACACACACACACAGACAAACGCTACTGAAAACATAACCTTCTTGGCGAAGGTAACAACGTCCACCCCAACGCGAGAAACAGCTGCGAACATGGAAAACTCAATTTCTTACAAAACCCTTCCGCGGAAGGATGTCTCCTTCCCCGGAGGTAACAAGCATTACGGCTTCCCCAACGGCAGCGCACATTTTTTCTGCATCATATTTTACGTCTTCTTTTTATTTTAGTTGATTTCGTTCACACAACCATTACCAGTTGCACCATGGCAAAGGCGACAAACAAAAAACAACACATTATATGATATTAAAGTTCCTTTAATTTAAAAGCTTAAACTCATGCGATATACACCCTAAACAGTACACCGAGCGGACCCCAGCACTGTATATCCTGTAATATTTTTTTTTTTTTGTTTCCTAAGATTTTTTCTGAAATTTAAGGTAATTGTCACCCACAAAGTTGTCTCTCAATACAGTGCACAAAACTCAGTTTTCCCCATTTAAAAGAAAATACATATATCTGATTTTCTTTTCGAGGCCGCGCGGACCCCAGCCGGCTTTCGATCGTAATGGATACACTGGCGTTCTTATACATTACTTTATTTCCGTTTTTATATGTTCTTTATGCACTTATCGTTTGACATCAGAGAATGGTGTACTAATAGAATTAAATTCAAAATTTGGCGTAATTATGACGTCATAAGACGTCAGAGCTAATCATATGGTCTGCCATTTTGGATTTTGACTAATGACGTCATCAAATTAGCATAATATGAATATTAAATGATCTAACTTATATTTCATTATGTAAGATGTTATTAATGTCAGAAAAGAAGTCTTATCTATTATAAAAAAAATTAGAAAATTTTTATGTTAAAACCAAAATTACTGATTTTAAAAAAAAATACTGCCTGTCAGAAACCACAGCAACCATGGCAACACCATGGCAACACAAAAAATCAATTACTTATTTAACTAAAAATAAAGTTATTTCCAGATACATTTTAGAAATGGTCACCAAATTTGATGGTTTAAGCTCAAGCCTTTGAGGCGCTATTTAAGATTAAAGTTGGCGCGGGCCTCAAAAGACCACTCGTTCTGAATAGGGTTAAAAAATTGGGCATTTCTTCCTTTTGTCTTTTCTTCACCAAAAAAAAAGAAAAAGGTTAAAATGTATGATTTTTGTACGTAATGTGGACTCAGAGGTTCACACATCAATCAATTTGCAAAGCAATTGAGCTGGTAGTATGTTCATAGTTTCTAAAAAGCAGCAAAAACTGTCGTGGGGTCCGCGCGGACCCCAGGTGTACAGATTAATCAGTCCGGGAAGGTGTACTGTTGAGGTTTAAACATTCGTTGGAGTAAACTTTTTTTATAAATTCACCATAAACACTATAAAGGTAGCCTATGCCGGGAGGGGGGCAGTAGGTTTTTAATACGATGCTGTGTCTAGGACACAATATTGGAAGGCATAGCCCATCCATTTCCTTTCATTGTCTTTACCTCCCCGACAAAAGTCAGGTACCCATTTAACATCATACAAGTTAGGTCACATAAGATGATTTTAATCGAGAACTCTAGGGCCCAAACCCCTGTTGTTATCCCACAGCACATGCTTAACTTAATCTATGTACCGATCGCTAATTCACATTAAATCTTAGAGTTTCATGCTTAACAGCTTTCTAAATGGCTTATGGGTATCATAAATATAGCACAAAAGCTTTTGTTCGGCGTTTGTGTTTAACGTATTCTAAGCTCAAACTTTATTCCAATACACAGACAAACAAGGCATCGAATTTTCAAGTTGCAGATTAAATAGATCGTGTAAAATCAAGGACACATGACATAAGCAAATGATCATTCCTTCCTATACTGCGTAAGAAGTTATATGATAAATATTATCAATAAAAGTAGTGCTGGTGCCATATATATCATTATACCAAAGATGTACCAACGGAGGATTGTTGAGACAAAGCATTTTTAAGAGTCATTGCACGAGAAAACCAGGCAGAGGCCGGAAGATGGGGGTGTTCATGTTCATATCATTATCAGAATCACCGTGGTGTCCATTGTAATTTCAGTAATTTTCACCCATAAATTGTTAGATTTTTGAGGGTCTCAGAGGGGGGTCCCAGAACTCCATAACGAAAAATACCTGGAGGGTGTTAATAGTTCCTCATACCTATCTCACATACAAAGTATGAGCCGATTTGGCCGACCCCCATCTTCCGACCTCTGCCTGGTTTTGCCTGGTTTTCTCGTGCAATGACTCTTAAAGCAACTTACAGTTACAGCCATACTCTAAAGGCTGGAAGCTGCGATAGAAAATAGCTGCTGCAAACGTATATTGTATTACATAATCGAAATTAAAATAGGCCCCTACCACCTGCCCACAACACTTTCGTACAGTCACTGTTTGACCTTTAATTTCTAAGTCATGAAAATATCCCTTAGATCTTATGCAATAGGGCGGATGCTTTTTTAATGATCGAGTAAAAGTTTCATATATTACTAGTATGTGCTATATAAGGCAATGTTTTTTTAAACCAAAACCTCTGATTCCTGTCTACTTCTCCTCCAGTTTCACCAGCAGCCCATAAAGAATGATGACACCATGTCTGTCCGTGGACCACTCGATCTCGCTGTCGCTGAACCTCTTGTCTATGTTCCTCCGCGCGACCGTTGAGACGCCGACTTTGTAGCTGTCCGGCTTGATGTAGAGTTGCAGGGCCACCTTAGCTTCATAGGTCTTGTCACGATGAATGAAACTGCGGAAACGCAAGCAACAGTGCGCGTGTAAAGTTTCGGCGGTAAAGACTCGTGCTTTAACCCTATCTAGACCGGGCTTTTTTGGGCTTAGTGGGACCGGCCTTAGAACGGTATGTCAAAATACCACCAAATTTTCAGAGGATGGTATACTACTTTCGGGACAACCATTACGGTAATTTTGAGCCGTGAATGGGGTATGTTTCACTCTCTATGCTTCCAGGTTTGAACGAGTTTTGCAGACATGTCATGTCGACCAAAGGTTTGTATTGTGTTAATCATACTGGTGTAAAGAATCATTACAATATTCAAGGACACGACAGTAGGTTCGCTACATGTTACATGTCCACAAAATATGATAGTGGACATAGTACTGTCCAGGAAACTGTTTGTATCTATAGAAAAGTAGAAAAGGGTTGTTTTTTATCTGCTGCAAGGCACGGAGGCAAAAAAGGTTGTTTTGCCGCTTTATTGTAAATGACCGCAGGTGACCCCGAAATGGAACGCGGGTTCGATTCGAATTGCCCAGATCGAACACGATTGAACACAGTTCGGGTTCTATGAAATGTGGGAACTTTGCAGCCCTGACTTAACCATCCTGCGTTGTGGTAATTGTTATAAACTTATCTCATTATTATGATATTGGTGATACATTTAACCCTATCTAGGTACCTAGACGGGGGGGGGGGGGCTAAAAGTGCCCGCGCCAACTTTGATGTCACGTAGCGTCTGAACAGCTAGAGCTAGAATGGCCAAACTTAGTGACTTTTCCTACAATATTGTTGGCAACAATACTGTATCATTGAAATAAGATAATAATTTTTTGTGTTGCCATGGCAATGGGTTTCTGACAGGCATTTTTCCTAAATTTAGTACTTTTTGTTTCAACAATAGAATTTTATGGGTTTTATGTCAAGTTACTCATGGTTTCTAATATTAATAACATCCCATATAATTTGATGTAAATTTTATTATTAAATATGCATAATTTATGCTAATTTGATGACGCCATTGGCCAAAATCCAACATGGCGGACCATATCATTAGAACAGGTATATACAGGTTATTTTCATTAAAATTTCATCAATACTTCCATTTCTGTTTCCAAAAAAAGGTTTAAATGAAGGTCTTTAGTATGTTTACAATGCATTTTAGGCTTTATCATGAAAAAAACAATTTTTGAAAATTCAAGATTGATGATCCAAGATGGCGGATATCTTAAATATGCATGACGTCATTTTACGTCATATTACGTCATAACGACATAGAAATTGTACATATGATAAATTTTTACTAGTACACCATCCTCTAAAAATTTGGCGGTCATACGACATACCGTTCGCGAGTTCTGAGCCCCCTCATGACTAAACAAGCCCGGTCTAGATAGGGTTAAGGAAAAATTATCAAATTTCATTATTTTAGCGTAAGCCGTTTAGGCGCTATTCGAGATGATATTTGGTGACGGCCGCGAA